GACTATTATGACTCATCAACAAATTTCAGAAAATTTGTTAATTCATCTTTGACAGGTATTCTTCTCTTACTCTGTGTCTTTTCTGTCATTAAATTGCGCATGCATCGAGTCGAGAATGTTTAATTCACAAACGATGTTAAAGTTCGAAAAATGAATGATTAAAGTATTAACAGAACTTTTTTTTTATGTATTTGAGTTCGGCGATCATTAAATTTTAAGAAATGAGGAAAGGAAACTACCGATGCATTTGTTCTCTCTATTCCTGATACCCTACTAATATCGCATAGTCTAGAATTATTGCTCATGTATTTTTGAAATGATAATTGTTTAAGATAAGTCATATATTGAGGATGGTTGTCGCGATTTTAATTTAACTCCACCTTATTGGTTTATTACTTATGTAGTCTGCATGAGACTTGGTTGTTGTGTTTAAGATCTTAAAAAAGTGAAGAAGAAATGGTTCATTGGGTTGAGTCTTGTGCTGATTTAGGTCTTGTGACACAACAACATAAATGAAACAAGCAAAAATGGAAAACCAATAAAAGGAGAAAATTAATTTAGACATTTTTATAATATAAATTTGCAACAAATACAACTTAAGTATTTCAAATTTAGACATTTAATCTCGAAATAATATGGATCCTACATAATATCCTTAACTAAGTTAATTAAAATAAATTGAATTCAAAGGTAAAATTAAAAACAAATTAAAGAACTTCTATGTGTTGAATTTAATGAGATTAGAATTAAATGAGCAGCTTCTATGGTTTGTTTTCTGTTCTGTAGCCTGTATTCCTTTCTAAATATTACCAATTTACCATTCTTATTTTTTTAATAGACAAAAATGAAAGTAAATTTAAAAGAAAAAGGAAAAAAAGTATAGATCTTAATTTCTTTTCGGAAGTACTTCTTGCTTTTTTGCGTTTTTATTATCCGCCGTACGTTAGTTCGTGCAAATGAAAACTGAATTCCTCACAAATGAGGGTAGATACCTGCACTACTCATAATGCTTTTAGGATGTGAATCAATCCTAAATTCTTTACACTTTATTGTACGATTCAAATATTAAAATGCACACTACCCATCTCTTTATTAACCAGTTTTTATAAATGCAAAGGATTATAATATATTAATATATTACAATATCGAATATTTTTTATCCATTTATTTAGAATATAATGGTCGCAAAATTTTGATTGCACGGGTTTTCGAAAGTAGAGGTTGCTCCAAGAGGCAGAAAGGATCATTGTTTGGATTGTAAGTGGTAACTTCTGCAGTTTTTATATATATTATTAAACTGTGAATAATTTTTCATGCTTTGTATTGCTTGAATAGTATTCACATTATTAATTAAGATGTGCTAAGTTAAAATTTTGCATTTTGCAATGACATATGTAGAGATGCTTATTTATTACGTTTTCTTAAACTCTATCCATGTCAATGATCATGAATGATAGTATGATGGCTAGAAGAATGGATAAAGTTGATCGAAGAGTATGCCCAATTTTATTCCTAAAAGTCCTAAGTTACGTGAAAATCCTAAGCTTTTGGTATAGTTAAATTTGTAATTTATAACAAAACCAAATATTTTTCAAGCATGTATGCTCTAACTATTTTTACTATACATATTCTGTTAAAAAATGTCATAGAATACACGTGCAACGCACGTGCAGAGAATCTAGTCTATATTAAAAGTACGAAGGCCCTTAGCGAAATGTCGTTTGCCTTTTTTACCCCTTTAAAACTGAATTTACATCAGACAAAATTGTAATTTAATTATATTCCTAATATTTAGGATTTTAAAATGAGCTAAAATTTTGGTTATTGAATCTTTTTCTTATTTTATTCCTTATTTGAACACTGTAAAAATTCCTAATATTTAGGGAATCAAAATAAAATAAAATTGTACTTTTTAAAATTATTTGAAAATTTCACGTATAGTTAATTAGAAAATACAATGCAACTAGAATTGTTGGTCACACACGAGTTTGTATTCTTAGAAAAAAAAAATACCAAACATATGTACAATCTATGTAAGAGATATTTATAAAGTTATTAAAGTTATGTATGTTTAACAAGCTTCGTCTGTTATGACTTTAATTTTTAGTAGGCATGTATATCGGTTTTATAATTTTTTCATAAGTATTTACTGATGATTATTATATAAATAAGTGTTTAATTATTTTTATACTAATATTTAGGACTATTTTCCCTTCCTTTTAGGTTTAGGTGTCCTATTTCCTATCTCATGTTTTAATTATTTAATAAGAAAACTTCATTAGGTAAATGTCGTATTCACCTTTCAAAGAAAAGCTAAACTTCAACGTAATTACCCTTCTGACAAATTTATTGAGTTGGATATTACAATTATTTTAAAAAATGAACTAAATATTTATTAAAGATTATTTTAAGAATTTGAATTTTACCACAAAATTGTCACTTTTACTGTTATGAAATTTTGACCATCTTAATACATTTTTTTTTTTAAATATTGATGCTAATTTTTCACGTACTCCACTCGAATAATATGAATAAACGCATAGTAATAACAAGTAGTGCAGTACTGAGTTTGCATTAAAATAAGAGATCCTGAACTTTGAGTTATCCCAACTAAATTTAAACACTTTAAGTCTTCATTTGAAGATATAAACTAGGATAGATTTTTTGTCTGTCGTTTATTTTAGAATATCTCAAAATGAAAAAAATTCACCATTTAATTTTTTTAATATTTTATAATAAAAGAAGTAGCGTTAAGTTTGAGTTGAAATAGAAGAACTTGAATTTTGAGGTTAGCTTTTGCCGTGATTGGCATGGGCTAACTTCAAAATATTGGTTTAGTACAAAAAATACTTTACGATAAAATTTGAAGTTCAAAAAATCCGTTTAGCCAGATTTAAATATATTGTTCAACTGCAATAAAGAATGAGTCATGATTAGATACACAATTCAAATAACAAAAATTAATTATACGGGTAAATGTTTCCTAATTATATTGATCTTTAGTCTATCCTTAGATTATAAATTTTCGCAAATAGTTTCTTACTTTTTCTTGAGTTATAAGTTTATCATCTTTAAAAGTTTTAAGAAAGGATGCAACATCTTTCGTGCTCCATCTGACAAAAAGTTTAATTCTATTTATTTAATTATACTTTCAATTTATAATTCAAACATGTACAATTTAAAATAATATTTATTCGGCTTTTAGAAACAATTTATTTTTTAGAGATAAAGTACACGCGCAACGCGCGTATCTTAAGACTAGTGATTGTTAAATGTAAGGAAAGACTTAAGGCCTCTAATTAATATTTGGCTTTAGGCTCCCAAATGTATTAAGCCGCCTCTGCATCAACCAAAAACATTTTTCATGCAAAATAACTTTCATCATCCTAAACGTACTCGTCTTAGCTTGTTTTATCCTGATAATCTTCTAAGTTCTTTTTCAAATGTTTTAAATGATAGATTTTTCATTTTCCAATGAATAAGATACAAATTTTTACTCATTGTTTTCTCATATTTTTGAAGCATGAAGGTGGAAAAGACAAGCTAAATAAGAGAACAATGGGAATGCTTGTTCTTCCAGCAACGTTACAAGCCATTTCTTTAAGCACCTGTCATTCTCTCACCAAGAAAAATATATAACCCTGTGTTGTACAAATTCATCAAAATCATCAACAATTTTTTTTTTTTTTTTTTGGGTACAACGGATGATTTATGTATAGTTCAATTTGAGGTATCCTTTTTAAAACGAAATCAAATTTGACAGCTCAAGTCACCACAGCCAACAATATTCATATATGAAATGCATAATGTATACTATAAAGAATAAGATGAAGAAACACACAAGCTATTCTTCAGCACCTTCATAATGCCAGGGATAATCAATTTTTTAAATCTAGACGTAAATGACACTAAGGCTAAACCTCAGGGAACAATTAAGTAGTGTTTTCACTAACTGCTTGTTTGGATGGTTTTTACCTATTGTATTGTATTTTATTGTTATTTTAAATACAGTGTTTGTTCTGATTGTTACTTAAATTTTATTGTATTGTATCGTTAAATCCGTCGTTATGTAACGACGAAAAGTGTCACTTTATTGAACGATGGATTTGGTGTGGTGGCATCGTTACCTTACTTTTTTATCTCATCTTGTCCTTTCTTATTATTAAATAATCATATTTTATCCTTTACCTTACTTTTTTTATATGATAACTTTACTCCGTATCCTATTTTTCTTAGTAATACTGCAAGTTTATTCTTCATATTGTTGGTGCGTGATATCATGAAAAGACGGCAAACGATACATCCATCCAAACGTCGTATTCATCAAACAGTACAATAGAATGCAATACAATACAATATGATACATTATGAAACGACATGTAACAACAATCCAAACAAGTTGTAAGTGGACTCAACATATAGATAATTAAGCACGTGAAGAAGTCAAAGGGTCTCAACATCTACTATTATATACATAAGAAAATTAGCCTTATATATAAGGTGTAATTTTTCAGTGAAAGGGATTCGGATGAACCCCTTCTAGCCCCAGCTCTGGCCCTGTTATACAATGTAATTTCTTGATATCGGACTAGTTAATTTCTTTGTTTGTGTGGCTCTTCATTTTCCCTTTGTTTTAGAGCAGTGTTGTTGCCTGGTAGAAGATGATGGCCAAAGCATGATGAGCAGCCAAAATAATTTTGATTTATATTCATTTCTATCACGTTTTTTACTTAGAAATTAAAAAGGTATTCTTTAAAATTCAAAATATAATTCACATTCTCTGTCTCTGCCATCTAAAATGAAGGTTAAGTTCTATCACCTTTCGTACGAATTCACCAATATAATACTACTCAGTATCGTTCAACTTTATTCCCACTGAATTAAAGCTTCCTGCATACTAAATAACGACTTGAAGCAAAGCATATTCAAGTGAAAATCGCGTAAAGAAGATATGCTTTTTTCATTCATTTTCTTTAATTTGTTCCTTCTTCCATGTCTGTCCCTTCCTTTATTTCCCTCAAAGTTGGGATTCTGCACTAAACCAACCTTTAATCTTAAGAGGGTTTTTTGCAAATTATGCAGGATTCTGCTGCAAGCGGTGGAAATTCGAAAAAAGAAGAGCTTTCAAACTGTTCCAAGAATCCAGGAATGGCAGAAAATAATGAAGTTGAGATAACACAAGGAGAAGTTAAGGAGACTACTGACATAAAACAAGGAGAAGATGATGGCAATTTAAATAAGAGTATTAAATGTGGAGGTAATTTAGAGAAGGTTTCTAGTAATGGAGAAGGACAAGAATTAAGAGAAAAAATATTAGAGAAAGGTACTGAAGTAGTAATAGACATTGATGAAAATCAAGGAATGGAAAAAGTATGTCGTATATGTCATTTGAATGAAGAGTCCAAGGAAATAATTGAGCTTGGTTGTGACTGTAAATCTGAGCTTGGTATTTGTCATCGCCATTGTGCTGAAGCCTGGTTTAATCAGAGAGGTAACAGGTAGAATTATATCATCCTCCTATTTTTCATGCACAAACAAACAGGGCTCGCTTGGTACGAGTGATAAGGGATAAATTAATTTTGGGATTAAATTTGAGATGAGTTTAGCCCACGTTTGGTTGGGATAAAATCATGGTATAACTAATTCCGAAATTAGTTATCACGGGATTATAGTATTATTTTTATCCCTATAGGAGGGTGAGATAACAATTCTGGAATAGCTTGTTTCCCAACCAAACAACCCCTGACAATGCAAAGAATTTTTACGTTTTGAATACTCCAATGTATTTTAGTTTCTCACTTATTACATCACGTAAATTTGAATAGTATTTTTTTTAAATTTCTATGTCACATAATATGTCTTATTGTTCAGATAACTAATATCACTTATTATAGACAAGTTACTTGTAGTGTGAAAATTCTTTACATCCACAGATTATAAAACTTTAAATTCTATCTAATTTACAGATTATGCGAAATATGTGGGAAGAGGGCAAAAAATGTGCAAACAAGATTAGAGGAGAGCAGAATAATGGTGGTTGAATGGAACCAACGGACAGTAGAATCCACAAGTTCATATATCACATCTAGTTCATCTACTCCTATACAGCAGAATGGTTGTAGATGGAGATGTCAGCAATCTTGCTGTAACTTCCTGCTTGCCTGTTTTGTAATGGCCTTTACCCTCCCCTGGTTCTTCCGAGTTCAAATTCCTTAACAATGTAGAGACTGTTTTTTTGTTTTTTCTGCTACCAAAATCTCATACCTTGTCTCTATAGACAATGGAAGTTGTTAATAAATATTTGTTCACCTCATTGTATTGTCCTCCATTTAGCTAATTATACTCCTTTCCGTATACTAAAAAGCAACATTTCATTTTTTCAGTTTGTTTTATCCTGATATTCTAAGTTATGTCTACCAAATTTTTTGTTAAAGCAATACTAGTATACATACCCGCGGATTGTTTCAAAGGAAAAAATGATATAGTAGAAACAGGTCTCTATTGTAAAGTAAATTTAGCGATCACATCCAAAACAATTAAATCAAAAAACAAATATATGAATTTCATTGGATTGCATCTATGATGGGGACCACCAATATTTATGCACAAAAGCATGATTAGCAGAGAAGGTTGGGTAACTGTAATAAGCCAAAAGGTAAAGTAGATTTCCCAAAATTCGCTTCCGGTTGCAGGGAAAATAAAATAATTATACAAATCTCTACCAATAATCAAGCATATATTCATAGTACATATAAAATAACTTAGAGTTTTCTTATATTCAATTTCGATAAACGCCAAATCCAAGAGAACATACGTGCGATAGAAGGAAGCAACGTTCAATTTTTACTATTAATTACAACATTTCTAAACTAAATTAGCAATTTCTGTGTAAATTTGGATAGCTTAGCTGTTACAACATACTGGAGTAATGCTACAGAAATACGTGGCTTTAAAAAGGATTAGTCCACCTGAAAAAGCAGTAATTTGTCTCAAGTCATTATAAAGAAAAATAAAGAACAGTTATACATATGTGTAATTCACAGTAATTAAGACATCACCTTTTGTTGTGGTGTACTTTGGATCAGAAGTATATGAGAAAAATGAGCAAGTCAGTCATGTTGGTTGATGATATAAACGACAGACTCACATGGATAACTAAGATCTAGGAAATACCCAATCCTTGTTGGCATAATCTATATAACAGTTCAAGTGTTAGATGAAATGCATACATTAAAAGGAGCAGATTCAGCAAATGAAAATGAAATAAGGATATCCAAATTATGAAACAATGAGGAATCCAGATACCAGATTCAGTGCAACTATGTAAAGTGCATCTGCTCCAGCAACAATCTCCAATATCTCGCCAGTGATCTTCGCCTGCCTTTCCCGGTTATAAGCAATCGAAAGGTTCCACTTTAAGTCAACTGCATTATTCGTGGCATTACTCATTGCATTCATCCTAGCAGCAAGCTCACTCGCAAATGACTCTTGGAGTGCCCTCAAAATCTGGCTATTCAAATAGAGTGGCATCAAAGCATCAAGAATCTGAGCAGGATCTTGCTCAAAGTCTAAATTACACAACTAACTTCCCCTTTTAACCCTCAAATGATCCCTCTCAACAATCATTTTCCCCTCCTTAGTAGTCAACCTAAAGAACTCATCTTCATCTACATCAACACTTTTCCCATTAACATCAAGAACCTCTCCTTTCGACGAAATTGTAAGCAACGTATGTATTACTGGATCAGATTTAATCAATGAAACAAATTTAGTATACAACGGATATGGAGTAATGATGGAGTATACTGGAGTAATGCTACAGAAGTACTTGGCTTTAAAAAGGATTAGTCCACCTGAAAAAGCAGAAATTTGTCTTTAGTTATTATCAGAAAAAACAAAGAACAGTTATACATATGTGTAATTCACATTAATTAAGACATCACATTTTGTTGTATTGTACTTTGGATCAGAAGTGTATAAGAACATGAGCAAGTTTCCGAACCAGTGTATGAGAACATGAGCAAGTGAATAGGCAACTTCATGGAGAAAACATTAGACTACATAGTTAGCTGACTTTCTTCCTTTTAAGTAAATATAGATTGTTTCATTTGTCAAAAAGATCTGTACAACTCGAATGTTATTGCTTTCTCAAATATGTGAAGCACGAAGTTGGAATAGACAAACTAAATATGAGAACAATGCTTGGTTTTCCAGCAATTTTACAGGTTATCTATTTGACTTGATACCTAGTGAGCCATATACTCTTAAAAGTTTTTACAACTGCAACTAACTTATTTAAAATAAATATATCCAAAAACAAGAACTACAGGAGACTGATTTCTTGATATCAGACTAGCACCTTACTTTATTTGTGTAATCTGCTTCATTGACAGCTCTTTGTTTTCCTTGGCTTCAGAAGAGTGTTGTTAGAAGATGGCAAAAGCATGATAAGCAGCAAATTTAACTCGGAAGGAATGAAACACAATTTAGAAGAGTAAAAAGGAGCGCAAAGCCCCTTCCAGCTTTGCAAGATACTTCACACTCTTGAGGCATTGCCCGGTATACACCAAATATTCAGAAAACATGCCCACATCTGCCAAGTTTGAGAGCAAAGTAGCATTAGATGATTGCAAGACTCTAGTGCACTTCCTTAGAAATAGCATCCACTGCTAATGTTGAATATCTTCTTCTGTAGAACATCTTGCGTCAAACAAGAATTGAGTGTCTAAGTCCACCCAAAGCAAGGAACTATAGGAGCCGCCTTAGTTTTATATAGTAGTTCCCATGGCCCTGCCTGCTTCAGCAACAAAATGTAGTAAGTCTTGACTGAGAAAGTACCATCTTTACTAGCCAACCAGATATGTGAGTCCATTCTATTTTGCATCCAGGACTATAGGTTCCGAAAAAGTAATAATCTACACACCTCCTCTATTTCCCAAGCATTAGAATTTCTGAATTGTAATCGCCAGCCAGATTAAGAGAAAATATCAACAACAACAGACTCCTTATTTACAGCTATGTTGTATAAATTAGGCAAAGATATCTTTCAGACATCCTTCCTCTAACCATGGGCCTAGCACAAAATCTGATCCTATCCCCTCTGCCAGCTTTTAACATAATATTTTTCTGGAGTTCATCCCATAAGCCGGAGATTTGTTTCCATACAACCATTTTATTTGGCTGTGAGACAGATTTAGAAGCTCAATTAACAGCTTTACCATATTTAGTGTCGATCACCTCTTTCCATAAGCCATTTCCTCCATCATTTAGTCTCCACAACCCCTTTACTCAGAAGCACTCGTTATGGCTCTTTAGGTTTTTAAAGAAAATTAGAAATTTAAACTCACTGGATTAAGTACGTGGTCTTTGACAGAAGAAGCTTTAGAAGCTGGCTTCCTCGTCCCAAATCTTTGAAGTTGCTCAATCTCCTATCATAGAGAAAGAGAGAGCAAGGAAAAATTTCACAACTGAAGCTGCTATGAAAATCCATTCGGAAAATGAAGATGAAGGGAACTTACAACTTCAAACTTAAATAGACAAAGCTTGTCCTCAAGTAGTAACCCATTGTGCAATTAAAAAGTCTGCAAATGGTCAAAGGTATACCACAATATCAATTATCAATGAATTTGATAACAACCAACAGTTGTGGTCAGTCTGGTCATCTCCAGGTTGTTGAGAGTTTGTCATATTCATTTACGTTGTACCTCTCATCAAATGCTGAGACAAACTGACTAGAAGCAGGCATTAATCTATTCAGTTAAATGATGAATAATTACTCTATGCGAGGATCTAATTGCTAGTGTGTAAAATTATATTCTTGTTTCCAGCATGCATAACTGCAAATATGTTAAGCTTGAAACTTAAGAAAGAAAAGGATTTCAGGCAAAGAATATAAACCAAACACTTCCAGTCAGAGAAATGGTGAAACTCAAAGTATAAGTTTTTACTTCCAAAGGGCTAAGCTACAAATAACTTGCCAAGAGAAAACGAGCAGTGTAATGCTTTTACACAAATTGTAGAACATAAACTACAATGTTTTCCAAAGATGTTTATAAACTACAAGAAGACTTGATAAGTTCAAGGCAGAAAGATGTACAGGTCCTGATTTGGGAAAAAAACGTTATAAGTTGGAGAAAGTGAAAATTCTATTGATTAGTGCAAAATCCCCTGAGTACAAGAGGAAGGAAATATAAATACATAAAAGCGCTTGATGAGATCCAGGTATTGAACCATGTCAGATTCAGACATTGAATCACATCCTTTAGACGTTAATAGATGATAGTTGCAGAAGCTCCTTACTCTAGAATAGCTGCAAAATCAGATCTAGGAAAAGAATATCACTAAACCTTTATTCAATGCTATAACATTCATATATAAGATTCTTTGATCCATTCCTATAGCACAAAATCTAAGTCACTTGTCGAATTAATTAACAGAACTAGAAATCTAACTTGAATAATTTGTTGAATTTAAATTAAATTTAGTTAATCCAGCATCAGTTCAGAGAGAGAACCTCCATTAGCTAAGCTTACCGCTACTCTCAGGGCTCTGTGTATGAACTACTTTTTCAGGTTCAGATCTACACACTTCCCATTTTGGACGTTCCCAAATGTTTTGACACCATTTCCATTTCTATACAAATTTTCAGTTATTCAAATTCATTCAACTATTCAAACTTTAACATTAGACGTGATTTTTTCTCCATCAAACAAACTTTTCAACATTACTTTAATGTTTTCTTTTATAATCACTCATTTAAAATATAAGTCAAATGAATATCTTGAACTCTGAACCAATGAATTTGAAACACTGAAGTTGTTCGTTTTTACAAAAGGTCTCAAAAGAGGAACTGGGGAGACAGATCATAAAAGCATGATGCATGCATTAACTGTATAACAGTGATCCCTACTATCTATCTAGCTTAACTGACCTTCGTTCCCCGAGTCAATTGGCTACAGTCAACACATCTTAAGCAACTTCAAACAGGAGGAAAAAGCATTCTGGCTCAAATATGGAAGACCACTTCATTTCTAGATAAAGGAAAAGAGGAATACAATCCTTACCTTTGATTTATCTTCAGCCAATCACAACTGCTTAATGATTTCGGATTCAGAGGCCAGAATGTCATGCTGCAGAAAAGAGCATTCCTTGAACTGATTGTACTCTACTATCTAACTTTGGAATACAATACTAAACATTACACCAAAATAAGTGGAAAGAGATTATTTAGAAGTACAAATGACTTACAGTCCGACCCGCCTAGTTGTTTAGCATCTGTGATAAAGCATGCCTTTACTTCCACAGAATAACTCTTCACAATTTCAACAGCATGTCATCAGTATCCTTAGGGTGAGGAAAAGTATATAATTAACCACCTCCTGACAGAAGTGTCACTGTGTTTGTCTCTTACAAGAGGATCGACTACTTGACTTGAAACTGGTTACTGTAGGTTGTATTCTCAGTTGCATTAACGCTCGATGTTTTTCGGCTTCCATAAAGTGTTATAGTGCAAAACCGTAGGCAATTAATAAGGTTAACATTTGAGTGGCAGAGTTGAGCACCATTCCTAATTAATAATGCAGTATCTTAGCCAATCGAATTTTAGACTGGACCTTCCTTGCTTCATGTGAAAACCCAGAAGAACGAAGGCCACTAATAACAACACATTTATTTGATTTAAGAATTCTCATGCCACCTCTAACACATGATAGTAATAGCTTAGATGCTGCACGAAACCTCCCAGCTTTGCAAAGACCATGCACTATAGTGGAGTAAGTAAAGGAATCTTTGGCATCCATTGATTCAAACATCCACAATGCATGATCAAGGTGACCAGCTTTACACAACCCATTAATAAAAGAATTCAAAGCAACTAAGTTAGAATCAAAACCCATCATACTCATACAGTCCAAATGTTGCTGGGCCTCTTTGAAATTACCAGTCCTGCACAAGCCATCAATTAAGATAGTATGCGTGTACTTGTCAGACTCCAAGCCTTTTTTTTCTGCCTCGTACAGCAACTTATAAGCATTATCCAGCTGACCTTCCTTACAATATAGATTAATAATGTTGTTAAAAGACACCGTATCAAGGTCAAAGCCATTTGTAATGATATAGCCCAGGTACTCATTGGCCTCATTCATCCTCCCGGTTTTAAGTAACATACTAGCAACTGTACAGTAAGCAAAGGCATCATATGTATATCCTTTCCTTCTCATCTCTGCAAAGATTTTAAGGCCTTCTTCAAATTGTCTACATCTGAAGCAGCATTTCATTACTGTCGTATAAGTGATGGCATTTGGGATATGACCTGCTTCTACCAATTCATTGAGAAACTCTTTTGCAGTTTTTCCTCGACCTGACTTGCACAGCCCATGAATAAGAATGTTGTAAGTTACTAATTGGGGAGTAAATCCATGACGTTTTAAACTCCTAAATAACATTAGGGCATTCTCTGTATATCCATTCTTACAAAGACCATTCATTAATATATTGAATGTTGCTGGATGAAGAGAAATATCTTTCAAAATAATATCCTGAAAAACTCTGTAAGCTTCATCTGGCTTTCTCAATTTAAAGAAGCAATGCATTAAGGTGTTGTAACTCCAAATATCAGGAAGAATACTCATCTCAAGCATTTCATCAAACAGATCGAGACACCGGGATAACATGCAATATCTGGTAGCTCCAGCTATTAAAGAGTTATACGTAATAACATCAGGATTAATTCCAGCTTCCTTCATCCTATGAAGGATGGAATAACCTGGATCAATGCCAACAACACGACAATACGCAGCAATCACTGTATTGTAAGTGACTACATCTGGTTGTACTCCGATTCTTATGCCATCAACTATTAACCCTTCAGCTTTTTCCAATTGTTTGGCTTTGCAAAGAGATGCTATGCAAATATTCATTAACCTTGTTGATAATTTATTTTTGATACTCCACATCTAATCTGGGAGTTAAGACCAGCAACCTGGATCATTTTCGAACGAATTCATCAGACAAATCCTTTGGAGGATCTGACACGTACCACACAACATTTTTGAAAAGTACAGCAACATAGATTGAAGGATACTCAATTAGCAGAACAATCATGAAATAGTAACTTATTTTACCCAAATATGAAATTGCAAAAGCTACTAGTCAAGCAATACCAACTTGTTTTATTTAGTATTGATCAAAGAATTAACGGCAAATGAAATGTAGAAATAGAATGAAATGTAGAAATAGAATGGAATAGTATCAATAATAGAAATGCTTTGAATAGTCCATAAAAGAAGTGTCAAATTAAAACAAGTACTTAATTTTACTTCTCATCTTGCAAAATTAATAGGAATAAATCCCTTAGGGAAGCACATAACACACATGAATTTCATTTATCACATTTCAAGTCAAGGCAAATTCTTCTTCTTTAAGCGAAACCAGTTTCTGAATAACAAAACTTGACCTTCATTAAAATCAAATTATCCAGAAGAATCCATAACTGGAAAGAGTAAACACCTTTGGATTTAAACGAGCTCGTTTCGATGGAGAAGGAAGAATGGGTTCGGATAATTAATGACTCAATCTCAAGTGGGAGGAATAAACCTAAATAGTCCTTTTAAGTATGGGCTTAGAAGTATTTTGGTCCTTTTTATATATTACTAAACATAAAACGTCCTGTATGTTTACAAAAGTAGACACCTTTGGTTCAAGTTTAAACATAATCTTTAAATCTGATGGAAAGTGGCAGAACTCGGGTAAAAATAACGGAAGTATCTAACTCGGTTTCACAGAATCTGTTAATGAGACATGTCACTCACCTCATCTTCCAAAATCCTTAAAGAACTAACCGAAGAACCCGTGACTCCCTTTCTCCCAAATTCATTCATATAAAGCAAAACCGGTGATGTAACAGTAGAAGCAACAACCATATTCAGCGACAAGCAATGTAGATTCCATCAATGAGTCGTAGAAGATCTAATACTCAAAAAATGGAGTTCGATCGAATGAAAATTGTGCTTCGAGACTTGGGCCTCATTTGTTTGCACTTAATGGAGGTCTGAATATTAATGGGTCTGAATAGGTCTGTATGACTAAGATCCATAACAGAGACTTAATTTCATTAAGATGTTATCACATATTCATTATTAACTACCGCCACCGCCTACCATTATCAACTACCACCATGCCGCCGCCGCCACCACCACCACCACTATGCCACCATTACTATGCCACCATCATCCTCAATCATAGCCGCCATCATTATCGATCATCACTACCCAGTATCCCCACCACTCCAACCACCATCATTCTCACCCACAATCAACACTCATCCACCTCAACTACCACAACTACCACCCCATCACCATCAACAACCACAGCCGGCACTGCCTATCATTATAACCTACCACCACCCACCCACCACCTTCCTTAGTCACAACTACTATCACCATCCGCCACTACCATCCTCAATCATAATCGCCACCACTATCAATTACTACTAGCTACTAGTATGAACCACCATCATCAACCAAAACTAGGGGCGGATCCACCCCTTTAAGGAGGGGTGGCATGGCACCCGGTAAGATGATAAGTTTTTTATATACCTATGTTGAGATTTTCTTAAATGAGGTTAATTATCTGATCCTGCCACCCGCAACGGTAAACTAAGCAAAGGTGTCATGGCTGATAGACCTTTTTGAAAGTTTTTCTCGTGTGTAAAATTCAAGTTGAATTTATCTTGAACCTTGTCTCACTTTCTCTTTTCTTTTGTGCTTTTATTTCCTTTTATCCGAGTCATTTCCTTTTCGGGTACCACCGAATTTTCTATTTGTCGTTTTATTATTATTTTATTTTTCTTTTCTCTATCCTATTATTTTGTATGTGATCTTTAGGAAGAACACTAAAAAAAGAGACTCCTGAACTTTAAAATTATATAAAATAAGCAATCCTCTTAATTAAATTTATGAGTTTTCTTGTTTCAGATCCGAAAAACTTGAGTGTTAATGAGAATTTTGGATTGTGATAAAAAAAAAATTCATCTTTTTTATTATATCATAAAAATTTGGGTTATGCGATGGTTGTTAGATATAATTTAAATCACTTTACAATAATTTCGTAAGCATTGCTTAAGAAATATGTGATTTATGATTTTGATTTATGATAAATTGTAGTTTATCTAATTTATGATTATGGGGTATAATGTATCTATGGAAAATATTTTTTTAAAATTTCTTATTCTGGTTGATGTAATTCTCTTTTTGAAGATGTTATCTTACTTGTGTAAATTAATTTTCAATACACAGAAAAGATGTAATTTTCCAGTGAAACTATTAATTTTACTTATTGATGATAGGCTATAATTACGTATTCTAGTCGCTTATTACACTCTAATTTACTGCACTTTAATTGAGTTTGACCTTTAATCGCTAGTATTTTGCACTAATTGTATGTTTTATGCCTTGTAGGAGTGATTCCGAGCTATATAGATGTTATGGAATGAATTCAAGTGATTTGGAGCTTTAAAGTTTGAGTAAAAGTTCAAGGAATTAAGCCGGGATCGTGTTTGGGGGTCAACGGATGATAGTTAGAGCGAACGAAGACTCCAGTAGGAAGATCGCGCACTGTCTAGTAAAATAGACATAACTTTTTTCTCAGAACTCCATTTTGGCTCCACAATATATGGTTGGAAAGCTAACTCAAAGGGCTACAACTTTCATGTTTTATATTTTTCCAAATTCGGAACGGAACAGGGTGAAAAGTGCGCGCCTAGATGCGCGGCCGCGCTAGTTTTAGCGCGCCCAGAAACAGAAAGTCAGCCAATTAGCGCGCCCAGATGCGCGGTCAAATGCGCTGCAGCGCTAGTTAAGCCCGGGAAAAGTATCCTTTTTCACATTGGAGAAGGTATAACTGTTTGGGCCTAACCCTACTTGGTATATATACATAGGAGAACGTTTTTGAGAGCAACTTTTGACCAAGGACAAGCGCAGAGCCGCCGTGGAGGCCGGGTTTCATCTTTTCTTCCACCAACTTAGTAATTTTTATGTTTCTTTGTATGATTTGTTGTTTTGCTACCATGTCTATGTGGAGCTAAAGNATTAGTTAATATTTAATTATTTAATTGGACTACGACGTATATACCTATGGGTTCCAGGCTCGATATTTGAGGCCCAGTAGCACCAAGCTATCCTGAATTCTTATGTGTGTCAATTTCAATATTTTTCATAATTCTGTGTGTTTGTTTTATAAATTAAATAATTAATTTTTGCAAATTATAATTGGACGGAGTTTGTGTTTGATCTATCAATATAGTAGATACTTAAACTACAGAGATTCTACGCTAAAAGGCTCTACATTTTACTATGCTAAAAGGCTCTATATTTTACTACGCTAAAAGGCTCTATATTCTACTACGCTAAAAGGGCACTAGTCTTTAAGCAAATAAATAATCTAACCTAAATAAAAATAACAAATATATTTTAATAACATAACATTCACGAAATTACATATAAAACAGTAAAGAAATTTATGAACATTTTTATTAACAAGAAAAATTATTTCTCAACTTTTAACTATTTTTTTAAAACACTAATATCTTAATCCGGATGAAAATAACATACTAATTTAATCGCAAACAAAATACAAAACAACATGGAAACACATTCAAGACAACTAATATGCATTATTATACAAGTTTTGACATAAACTAAACCGGAATACCTCGATTTATGTTTTTAGAAAAGTCGGAAAATTAAAATTTTGAGCCCGAAACGAGGAAACCACAACAATAGAAGGCTTGGGTTGGATGCGGGACCTACAATCTTATCTTTTTGTGTGACAGGTGGGGTCCACTCGGAATTTTTTTGGAGAAAAAGAGGAGGAGGGGGGGGGGGGGGACCGCTGTTTCTTTTGAATTAAAAAATGGGGTGTTTTCTGTTTCTGTCGTGGGGAAGAAGATGGTCTCTTTATTTAACAGGTATAGCTGATGATAGGCTATAATTACGTATTTTAGTCGCTTATTACACTCTAATTTACTGCACTTTAATTGAGTTTGAGCTTTAATCGCTAGTGTTTTGCACTAATTGTATGTTTTATGCCTTGTAGGAGTGATTCCGAGCTATATAGATGTTATGGAATGAATTCAAGTGATTTGGAGCTTTAAAGTTTGAGTAAAAGTTCAAGTAATTAAGTCGGGATCGTGTTTGGGGGTCAACGGATGATAGTTAGAGCGAACGAAGACTCCAGTAGGCAGATTGCGCACTGTCTAGTAAAATAGACATAACTTTTTGCTCAGAACTCCATTTTGGCTCCACAATATATGGTTGGAAAGCTAACTCAAAGGGCTACAACTTTCATGTTTTACGTTTTTCCAAATTCAGAACGTAACAGGGTGAAAGATGCCCAGATGCGCGGCCGCGGTAGTTTTAGCGCGCCCAGAAACAGAAAGTCAGCCAATTAGCGCGCCCAGATGCGCGGTCAAATGCGCTGCAGCGCTAGTTAAGCCCGGGAAAAGTGTCCTTTTTCAAATTGGAGAAGGTATAATTATTTGGGCCCAACCCTACTTGGTATATATACATAGGAGAATGTTTTTTAGAGCAACTTTTGACCAAGGACAAGCGCAGAGCCGCCGTGGAGGCCGGGTTTCATCTTTTCTTCCACCAACTTAGTAATTTTTATGTTTCTTTGTATGATTTGTTGTTTTGCTACCATGTCTATGTGGAGCTAAACTTCACGTTCTAGGGTTGTGGTTCTTTCATGACTATTGTTATTCGGATATTGATTTTGATTTCTTAGTTTATCATATTGGTTTATTTATTCAATCCTGCACTTAATTATTTGATTGTTTCACCAATTGAATACTATCTACGAATCTAGAGTTGAACTCGAAAGTGGGAATTCTAGATTGCATATAGGATTGAGTAGAGCAAGTTCTTGAACCTGGGCCTCGGGGAACGGATTCGCGGTTAGGATAGACATATACCTAATTGCCTTGCTTGGTTGATTTACAGGAATTATAAATGCGTTCTTGTTGATTCTAATTCCATAGACATATAGGAGTTAGGTTAGCTTGAATAGGCGAGTAAGAACTCGACAGATTCTTATGAGCAATATTAACCCTGTCAACCAATAAACTAGATAAATTAGTTAGTCAATTCAATTGAAGAATAGAATAGGAATGTTAGATAGCCCATAACCCTAGATCGTTTTTATTACATTGATATCATAAAAATCTGCTCTTTTCCTCTGTTTAAAGTTCATTATTTGTTTTTATTTATTTTAATTAGTTTAGAATCAAATACTTCTTGGTTTAATTCTTGTATAGATAATTAGGATAGTCTAATTTAGTTAATAGTTAATCACAAGTCCTCGTGGGATCGACATCCGACTTTTAGTCACTTTATTACTTGATGACCGCGTATACTTGCGTGTGCGTTTGGCCGCAACAAGTTTACTTATGTTGTTATAATAAAGGTGTGATCCTATTTTAAAATTCTAATCACATTTGTTTTTTTATATCTGAGATGTAATTTTTAATTTTTAAATAAAATAACCTATTAGGTTGACCCAAATCAACTCAAAAAAAATCGATTAAACGTTCCTAACAAATTTCGTATTAGTTATTACAAAGTATACATTAAAGGAAATTATGGCACCCGCCAATTTTAAATCCTAGATCCGCCTCTAACCAAAACTACCACCAACCACCGCCTCTAGTCGCCATTCACCCGTTAGCCATCACCACCAACAACTATCATATTTTTAAAAACTATATATTTTATTGATAGAATATTAGATTGGTTAATATTTCATTTGAATTTTATGTTTATTAATTTTCAAATAAAGATAATTTATACATTCAGATGTTAAAAATCAAACAAACTTAATTATTTCGTATTCAGATCTTACTACATATCTTAATATATTCATATGTGCATTCAGATTCAGATATCTTAATCTTAATGCACATCTTGATATTCAGACATGTATTCAGATTTCAGACGTCTTAATCTAAAAAAAAAACAAATGAGTCCGTTCAAGTATTGAAATCCTTTATGTCTTAGTTAGGCTGAATGCAGCGTGCATAGATGAAGATGGCACTATATTGAATATACAAAAATGCAAATCTGGATATCTAGCACTAGCTATCCATACAATTCTTAAGCAGCGTGCATATCTATACAATTCTTAAGCAGCTTCAGAGCAACTGGAGCCGTTCATGAGGCAATCTTAAAGCAGCATCAGTTTCACAATCTACAATTCTCAAAATGTAGTTGAAGAGATCTTTGTCTTTTTGACGTTACTGTCACTGTCACCGTTAAGTTTGTGCCATTCCCCGTTAGTTTTATAGCTTCTGTTTAATCTTAAACCAAAGGCGTCCACTTTTGCAAACATAAAGGATATTTTATGTTTAGTGGAATATAATAAGCACCAAAATACTTCTAAGCCCAAACTTAAAGGACGATTAAAGTTTTTTTCTCCTCAATTTACAGGCTTCTACCATTGACAGCCATTAAAAAGCTTGAAAGCTTTGAATTCAAATTTGGATTTTCAAAAATCATTATTTGTTTTGATTGGGTGTTGTTGTAAATAATTGGGAATATGTTTTAGAGTTTATATCTCAATTTTGAGGGGTTTTAGTGAAGATTTAGACTTGGTTTTGGCTGAATTTCAGATTGAAACTCGAAGAAGAAGAAGAAGAAGAAGACATATTGCAGAAATTGTAATGCTTTGATGCTTTGAATTGAAATTTGGGTTTTAAAAAATCATTATTTGTTTGGATTGGGTGTTGTTGCAAATAATTGGGAATATGGTTTGGAGTTTATATCTCAAATTTGAGGGGTTTTGGTGAAGATTAGACTTGGTTTTGGCTGAATTTCGGGTTGAAACTCGAAGAAGAAGAAGAAGAAGACATGACATACATTATATTGCAGAAATTGTAGAAAAATTGTAGATAAATTGTAGAAAAATTGTAGACTGTTGTTTATTTATTTTTCTTTTATCCATTTACCTATTGTATGAAAGTTGAACAATATTGTATAACAATTGTATTTAAGTGGATGATTTAGTACTGTTTTGGACAAAAATATGTATCAAAAATGTGAAACATACATTTCAGGGGAAACATGTCGAGTCCAAATATGTACCCAGTTTGTAGATATTTTGTAGATAAATTGTAGATTATTTGTATTCTGATTGTAGTTGCTTTATTTTCTGTTTTCACAAATAAAAAACGACTAAAACTTCTACAAGTCTTCTGAAAAAATGCAATTATGTCAAAAATCTCAATTATGCTACAATTGAATGAGAATTGGGATATTAAAATTCAATGTACCCAGTTTGTAGATATTTTGTAGATAAATTATAGATTATTTGTATTCTGATTGTAGATGGTTTGTTTTTTGTTTTCACAAATCAAAAACGACTAAAACTTCAACAAATCTTCTGCAAAAAACGCAATTATGTTGAAAATCGCAATTATGCTACAATTGAATGGGAATTGGGATACTAAAATTCAATGTACCCAGTTTGTAGATATTTTGTAGATAATTTGTAGAAACATTGAAATTCTGTATTTTCATATTAATTTTTCAAATGATATGTAGTTTTGTTGTAGATTAAATGTATAAAACAAGCCATTGTGAGTTTTATTTGACTCACTCCTCACATTCAACCTATTCTACAAATTCACGCCTCTTTAAATACAATACAACCATACTTCTTGAATTTAAAGGTATAGCAATATATATAACTTAAAAAACATCTTCTCCTATGCACAAGTTAGCTCCAAAAAAGACGAAGTGGAATAACAAGCTCCCATCAAAACTTTTAACACAAAAACACAAAAGCTGAAATATAAATAAACAACAGTCTACAATTTTTCTACAATTTATGCAAATATAATGTACGTCATGTCTTCTTATTCTTCGAGTTTCAATCTGAAATTCAGCCAAAACCAAGTCTAATCTACACCAAAGCCCCTCAAAATTGAGATATAAACTCCAAACCATATTCCCAATTATTTACAACAACACCCAATCCAAACAAATAATAATTTTTAAAAACCCAAATTAGAATTCAAAGCTTCAAAGCTTTTTAATGACTGTCAATGGTGGAATTGCTGCTCTCTTTTCCTTTCCTCTTATATTACTGAAATTTGGGATTGCGAGATAGAGAGAGACGTAGAGAGAATTCTCAAATATTTGCAACAACATCCAATCCAAACAAACAACGTCTTTTGAAAACCCAAATTCGAATTCAAAGCCTTGGCTATGGAAGAAATAATGGGATTTTGATACAGAAATCGTGGGTGTGGGAGGGAAATGTGGGTGAAGGTGTAGGAATTGGAGAGAGAAATGTGAGGGGAGTGGTATTAGAAGGAATATACGGTGGGACTTTGCAAGTGAAACTCCAAGCACTATCTTTGAAGTTCTAAGATAGTTCGTGCTTTGCTCCAACAGAATGTGTTGGAGTTCAACATGTGAAAGTATGAAACTCTATAATATTGTGTTGGATTTCATATCTAGAAAATTATTATAATCCATACAATATGTAGAAGTATTTCTAAAATTTCTAAACTAGCCATCTACTCCATTTAATAAAACTAACAGTACTAATGAAAAGTAGAAATGACACTGCGCAACTATTTGTAACACTCATATTTTAAAATATATCTAGTTTTTAAAAATAGTTTAAAGCTACTTCTTCTTCTTCTTCAGCCATTGGGTCTGTAATTAGACTCATTCAGAGCCTTAGTTTAAACGTGAAAATTTAAAGTTTAAAAATCCAAAATTCAAATAGAGATTTTCGAGCCTAGAGTTGGACTCTGTTGAACCTAACTTCAAACCTTATGTTTGAATTTCAAAAGCGCATGTTTAAAGTTGATTATAAAGTGGCTAAATATTTAAAACTTTTTAAATTTCGGCTATGTTTTAAATAGGGGACGGCTTCACCCTTCTCGGGAGCAATACAAGTTGCGGCCCACGTCGTACGTTTACAACATTAGATAGGTTTAGGGTTTTTTTTTTGGATCTTCTTCGCGCCATCAGTACCCTACAACACTCCCTGCAGCTGCAACATCTTCCAGCAGAATCGCCATGGTATTTCTCTCCGATTTCCATTCCATGAGTATTCATGTTTATCCTATGTATACGCCAATAAATTAAGATTTTCTTGTTGTGCAAAATGAGAGCAGGCTTCAGAGAAGAAACTGAGCAATCCCATGAGGGAAATCAAGGTTCAGAAACTTGTCCTCAACATCTCCGTCGGTGAGAGTGGAGATCGACTCACCAGAGCTGCAAAGGTTCAGCCCCTTTTCACAACATCACCCTGAATTTGTTGTATTCCATTGTTTTAATATTGAACCTAAAATTGGTTCTATTTTTATTTTGATACTTAAGGTGTTGGAGCAACTTAGTGGCCAATCACCTGTTTTCTCCAAGGGTAAGACTTTGAATATTTTGTGCTTTTAAATGTAATAATAGGCACCTTTGTATTAAGCTCATAGTCAGTTCTTGAAAATATTTTTTTTTGAAAAAGGTAACATAGTTGTATATTGATGTAAGACTTCACTAAAATCGTGAAGTCCCCCATAATTACAAAAAAGGATGCCCTAGCAAAAAGTAGGCACTCCTAGTCCTTCTTCTTCTTATAAGGACTCTAAAACATCTAAAATGGATTCATGATCCTCTAAAAGCTGACCTTTACACCAAAAATAAAAAAGAGATAGACATTTCATCTTAATCTTCTGAATGCTGCTAGACTTATCTTCAAAGCATCTTTGATTCCTCTCTTCCCAAACCGTCCACCATATGCATGCTGGGACAATCCTCCATCTCTCTCTTTCTCTACAAGGTGTGCCCATTTTACTCCAACTTGCCAGAATACCAAGGACTCTTCCTGGCATTGCCCATTGAATTCCCCTCAGACTGATGAAGATTCTCCATATTTGAGTGGTGAACTTGCAATGCAAAAAGAGATGGTGAATTGTCTCTGCCTCCTCTTCACATAGATAACATTTGGAGCACAATTGAAAACCTCTTCTAGTTAGATTGTCATGAGTTAGAACTGCTTCTCTTGCCGGTAGCCATGTGAAGCATGCCACCTTATGTAGTATTTTAACTTTCCAAATCATCTTCCATGGCCAACATTCCACCTGATTATTAGACTGATTGAACTCCTTGTAAGCATCTTTAATTGAGAACTTCCCTTGACTATTGCCTTGCCATTTGATCTTGGTTTGAACTGATGCCATTGAACTGCTGCATAGAACTGTAGAATTCCACAAATCTGTCAATCTCCCAATCATTTAACAATCTTCTGAATGTGAGATTCCAGCCTTGGTTTGACCACACCTCTTCTATAGTAGCATTTTGTTGTTGACACAAATTGAAAATATCCGGGAATAGTCCCTTCAGAGATCCTTGGCCTAGCCAATTGTCCTCCCATAATGAAATCTTCCTACCATTACCAACTTTGAACTTTGCCTTGTTGATTAGTTTTGGCCATAAGTTCCTAATTGATCTCCACAGACTGACTCCATATGGTCGTCTTACTGTTTTGGTTGTCCAGCTTCCTTCCTTTCCATATTTTTCCTTGATCACTTCTGTCCACAGAGATTGCTCATCTGCTGCAAATTTCCACAACCACTTCAACATCAGACTTTGATTCTGTATTTTCAAATTTTTGATCCCCAACCCCCCTGATTTTTTGCTTGAAATTAGATCACCCCACTTAACCAGGTGAAACTTCTTTTTGTCACAGTTACCTTCCCATAGAAAGTTTCTTCTAAGGGCATCAATTCTGTTCACTACACTAGTTGGCATTGGAAATAAAGACATCATGTATGTAGGCATGACATCCAAAATAGAATTTATCAAAATCAGCCTCCCTCCCATTGACAGATACTGGTTCTTCCAGTTTGACAATTTCTTTTCACATTTTTCCAACACATTATTCCATATTCCTTTTGATTTGCTCTTGGCTCCCAAAGGCATCCCCAAGTATATAGTAGGCAGAACCCCCACCTTCTCTGCACAATGAACATTTGTCTAATGAATGAATCGATGCCTATGTATACTTCAATGTGATTGGTTATGTTAATTGGTTAACATATTGCATTTATTAATATCTGGCCTTAATATATAATTAGCTGCAGTTTATATGTCGGCGTGAATAGACCTGGATAGATACAAAGGACTTGTATAGACGACCCAATTAGTTTTGGGATTGAGGCCTGGTTGAATGATTGATTAATTGAACTGTAAATGTCAGGTTATGGGGAGTAACTTGTCTTTTAGTGTGCCTATATAAGGAAGGCCCTTCTTTTGCTATGAACTAAAATCACAGGCAATTAGCTATGTTGGTTGCACATTTTTGTAATTGTACTGGATTTTGATTCTTTTGGTTCTTTTAGGCAACATAGATATACAAATATTTTTGTTAGATGTTGATCCAAGCCTATCTGGATAAGATTAGGAATGAAGATATCCGGGTGAAGGTGGGCGTGGCTCCCATGGAAGACAAGATGCGGGAAGCTAGGCTTAGATGGTTCGGGCACTTGCGGAGGAGAAGACCTGGATGCACCGGTAAGAAGGTGTGAACGGCTGGCCTTGACGAGTAGGAGAAGAGGTAGAGGGCGGCCTAAGAAATATTGGGGAGAGGTGATCAGGAAGGACATGGTGCGGATGCAAATTTCCGAGGACATGGAGTGCAAATTCAGTGGCGGGACCGTTGAAGCTGACGTGGATGTGAAGCTTGAGACTCAAGTACACACTACCCTCCCCAGATCCCAAGTATGAGAATATATTGCGTATGTTGTTATTGTTGATAATAAAATCTGAATCAATTGGTTTTGTAGGAATATCAACAGCCTTGTATGTAAGTTGTATCCTTGTGCAAAAAAATGTTTAAATTATATAGTCTTTTGTTTGACGCTGTCACCATTTGATTGGTCAGTGAAGGTTCCAAAGCTTGCATATTTAGCTAATTGTTAATATAATATAATACTACAAGAACTAGAATCTTAATAAGATTTGAACAACATTTAAATAGGAATGAGGGCGAAAGGATTTATATAATACCCCCGTCTCTAATAATAAATAACATTCTGCCTCTAAATTAAATCGGTTAAACGTGCCGGGACAACCCACTGACAAATTGGTTAGACCCGATTCAGCCCGGTTCGCTAAGGGGATGGGAGGGGTTGGTGAGGGTTAGGGGTTTAGCCAGACGGGGGCGGGCCTTTTTTGGTAACCGGTGCCTCGGAACCCGTAAGCTCGGTAACCCACTAACAGGTTTTTACCGGGCTACATCCCAGTTACCGTTATGTAATATATATTTTTTTTACCGTTGCCAACAGTCAAATTCAAAAATGACCATTGGGCAATGACCATTTTTGGCCATTTCGGCATACCCCCTTAAGAAAATAGCCTCCCTTTTTTTTTGAACATGAAAGGTACTTATATTAAACATAACTAGGGCTCATGCCTGTTAACATTGTCATTTGTACATATGCCATCATAGGCTAATATTATGCCTTGTAAGGAATTGTCATTACCTAGAGCCGCCATATGACCACATTGGTCCCTGGAACAACTTCTAACATATATATATATATATATATATATATATATATATATATATATATATATATATATATATCCTGATCTTTGTCATAGANGTGGGACGTGGGCTCCCATGGAAGACAAGATGCGGGAAGCTAGGCTTAGATGGTTCGGGCACTTGCGGAGGAGAAGCCTGGATGCACCGGTGAGGAGGTGTGAACGGCTGGCCTTGACGGGTATAAGAAAGGTAGAGGGCGGCCTAAGAAATATTGGGGAGAGATGATCAGGCAGGACATGGTGCGGATGCAGATTTCCGAGGACATGGTCTTTGATAGAAAGTTGTGGAGGTCGAGCATTAGGGTTGTAGGTTAGGAGATAGGAGGCTAGTATGATTAATGTTTTGTTTTAGGCTGCTAGTGGCTCCAGTTGTATTCTTAATACTTCATTAGGGTCGTAGGTTAGGCTGTAATATGTTTAGTGGCCCTTTGTGTCCATATTATTCCCTTGCATCTGTTGTACTGTGCCTTTGTTACTGCTTAGTGTTATTACTTTGCTCTCTATTTTCTGGTTATTGCGTTGCTCGTGTTATCTTTCTGGATTCCTTTGCTTGTTGTTACTGATACACTGTCTCTTTCCTTTTTGTGCCGAGGGTCTACCGGAAACAGCCTCTCTACTCCGGGGGTAAGGTCTGCGTACGCACTACCCTCCCCAGACCCACTTGTGGGATCTCACTGGTTGTTGTTGTTGTTGATCCAAGCCTGTGTTACTCACAATTTGAGATTGTTGAAATTTGATAACCATGTTATTCACGAGTTATTGTTAGCTTAACTTGCTTCCTGCTTTTAGTCATGCATTCCAATGTTTTGTTTGAGCACTTTGTTTGTGGACTTTTAACTGATTTTTGTATTTATCTCGGATCAACCTGTTTGAAGATGATATTTAATAATCTCAAACGTGCTTGCGGTGGTTCTCATTAACAGCAAGGTACACTGTGAGGTCCTTCGGAATCAGGCGTAATGAAAAGATAGCTTGCTATGTGACTGTCAGAGGGGAGAAAGCCATGCAGCTACTTGAGAGTGGATTGAAAGTCAAGGAATATGAGTTGTTGAGAAGGAACTTCAGTGAAACCGGCTGTTTTGGGTTTGGTATTCAGGAGCACATTGATCTTGGAATCAAGTAAGCAAATTGTCATCTAATTATATTTTTCCTGTTTTTAGCTTTCCTAATCAACAAAATTAGCTACTTATAACATTATTTGTCCGTCTTTGGTCTTCCTCGTTCATAACCCGAACTGTGTTAAAATTTTTGCTGGAACTTCCTTCTACATAACATTTTTAATTTGATATATATGAAAAAATTCCGTTTCTAAGTTGTGTCATTCTATTTTTTTCTTATTTGTTTCACAGATATGACCCTTCAACTGGTATTTATGGTATGGATTTCTATGTTGTATTGGAGCGCCCTGGATACCGTGTTGCTCGTCGTCGTAGGTGCAAGTCTCGAGTTGGGATCCAGCACAGGGTCACAAAGGAGGACGCAATGAAGTGGTTCCAGGTCAAATATGAAGGTGTTATTCTTAACAAGTCCTCAAACATTCAGTGATAAGCTGAGAGCCGGCTTCTGGACTAGCAAGTTTACATCTATGTATTTTGTAGACCTAGAGGAAAGTTTTGGAAAGTTTCTATTAGTTGGTGTATGAGGATGTGTAAGTTCTCATTTTGGCTATCAGATGAATTCAATCCTTTTTTGTGGTCATTTTCTTTTGCTGCAATTAAAGTAGAATCGACGATGTAGTCTTACAACAGATGTTATGAATACCTAATTGGTTGCCTATTGTGGTAATGAGTTGATCGCTGTTTGATTGTTTTTATTAAATTTGCTTTGAAGAGCTTAATGTTTGGCATGTGAAGCTACCAGTATGTTATTAAAGTTTTACTGTAAGTGGTCTTTAACTATGCTGGATCTAGAGATTCTGATATCGTGCTGATGAAGCAGTTACTTGACAGCTGCATTTTGGAGAAATGGTTGGAGATGTTTTTGTTTCTAAATCTGTGTCTGCACTGTATACTCCACAGAATTCACTGCAATATTTTTTGTTGCCTGTGTAGCCGTAAGCTGCATGAATATCCTTAAGAACTTAAAGAAGAGTGCCTACTCGAGAGGTTACTGCATCATCCAATGGCTTCTCTCTACCTCTTGAGTATCGTCCTTGATCAACGTCTTCGTCGCAACATAAAAAGCTTGGTTGCTTGGCGCTGATGCGATTTCCGAAGAATAGAATATTACAGTGTCTGTATGCACAGTTCCTAAACAAGATCACTTCTGAAAATATTACTTATTATATTATGCTACTATCGAAATACAGTAAACCTAAGAGAATGGTTAAAGATTACAATGTTTGACATATTCAGTTACTGCTTGCATGCTTGTCTTTCTTCCTCTGCCTCTTTGGTTGGTTGGGGTTGGATGGTGGGGAAGAGGGAATATTAGGTTCATAGCAGGGCACCATAAGACAGTTTTCACTGTACTGGTCTTTTTTTTTTTTTTTTTTTAGGGTGGGGGTAGGGGGGGTAGGGGGGTGGTNNTTTTTTTTTTTTTTGGGTGGTGACGGGGGGGGGGGGGTGTGTGATCTTATTGAAAAAACTTGGAATTGAAACAAAACCGAAGTTTTATACTTGACGATATGAATGGTGTTTACATGATAAAAAGAAATTGGTGCAAACTTCATGGAACACCTCGAATATAATACCACGATATTCCTCTGCATTCATAGAAACATAATAATTCAAAAGTCGCCTTAAATCCTTCGTATCATGAATCCTATTTGCTATTATCATCTGCTCAATGGACTCTCGAAAATCTTCTCTTGGATCGTAAGAAGACTTCTCCATTGCTATCATCACTATAAACTTGGTCTTTTCATCTCGCGCCTTCCTCCTCTCCTCATTTTTAGCCTCTTCTCTTTCTCTAATCATCTTATCTAACCTTTCTTGCACCATGGCATGTGTTAGGCTTGAAATGGTTGGATATCTATCAGAATTGGAACTTTCTGCTTCTTCTGAAGACGACGAAACACTCAGCCTACAACTGCAGCACAAGGCACTGCACCCCCTTAGTTGAAGCTTCTGCTTCTTGGCTGCTGCCTTAGAGTTGTGCATTCTTTGAGCAGTGACACAGAGCTCTGATTTGAAGGAGAGATGTTAAGAGAAAATCATTTATGTAATTAGAAAGTGGGTCTTACTTATCATGATTATGTCTCAAGATTAATGAACCTGTGAAGATCACTAGGGATATAGGGAACATTCTTTTAGCTCATAAAGCCTATGATGATGATGTTAATAAGATATTCTTGATTTCCTTTAAAGATTGTATTAGGTGGAATGCTTTAGAAGCTGTGGTTGAAACAGAATCACCACGTTCTACACGATTAATCACAATAAGAAAGAAAAAAAATGAATGAGATAAAGAAACAGAAAAGGTGCAAAAAAGTGAGAACTTTTGATTGTTTTCACATGCTAGTACCAGGTCCTATGTACTAGTTGATTTCAAGAATCTGGAAAAGTTTGTGGTGGTGAACGGAGTGAAATGGCTGCAGAGGGTTAATAATTCAAGTTGATGAAACACAAGGAGGACATTCTATTGTAGAAACCATTTGGCCTCATCATTGAAGATGCAAAAGCTCCTGCACAATAGACTTTACTAATCAACCAGTTGAGTAAAAGTAAGATCGGTGTCCATTTGGAACAACTTATAAGAAAATGGATTTGGTTTGAACATATAGTTTTAATGTGAGTCAGATTTAACTTTTCTTGCCAGAACTCACAGTTACTTTAGATAGCTCATCTTAGTTGGCTATATCAGATTTGATCTCTGACTTTGCAGGGTGAATTTAATAAAGTATAATAAATACAGAATTAAATCAACAAGAAAATGCAAAACTCCCATCAAAACCCAGAAATTTGGTCTACACAACATAAACGCCAATTATAAATGGCAACCCAGTACACGAAGCATCCTACGTTCACGCAGGGTCCGGGGAAAGGCCGCACCCCAAGGGAGTGTGATGTAGGCATCCTACGTTAATGCAAGCATCAGTGGTTGATTTCACTGCTCGAACCCGTGACCTGTAGGTCACACGAAGACAACTTTATCGTTGCTCCAAGGCCGCCCTTCATAAATGCCAATTATATCAAAACAAAAAAATTAACTAAAAAGGCCTAATTCTTCTAGAGATAATATCCGTTGCAATTTGCAAGTAGGACCTGAGATACAAAATGATTGCAAGGGAGCACGAAAAAACAGTAGGGCCTATGAAATCATGTTAAAATATATAAACTCAACCCAGAAAGTAAGGCTAATCCGTAGCTTAGGGAATATAGTATGCAAGATGCTATGCATTAAGCTTCTTTATCCTCTCAAAAGTGAGTAGGTGAATGCAAAATCATAAACTATGTTGGGTTCTCTGAAGCAGTTCATAAATAATATACTTCTTTTAAATAAGAATTCCATCAATGATAGACATCTTCCTTCTCTTATGGAGGAATTCAAGAGTAGCTCACAAGGAAAGCTTGAAACTCAATCCCAATTCACTTATCTTTTGTGGATTTCGAAAATAATAATTTGCTTCTTATTTTGGAAGGAGGTGGGTCATGCTCCACCCTGTTGCACCCATTTTCAGGTTTACAAATTTCAAATACGGTCCTAGTATGGACCGCAATTAAGAGCTCCAGAAGGAAAAAAAAGAGAGGGAAACATTCAAGTCTTGTGTATGATCACATAGAACCACTCCACTATCCACATTTTTTGGTTCTAAGCTTGCAATGAACTATGGCAAGTTCCAATATTTATCCGTTATCACGTTTTTTGTTCAATGGAACTAAACTTCATTAGTCTTGAACTGCATAACAATTTGAGGAGATAAAAAAATAAAAGGGACAAAAAAAAGATAAAGTTAATTTTAAATATGGGCAAACTACAAAATTGTAAGCTCCATTTTCAGACTACCACTGATTCTAGAGCAAACTGAGAAACCAGAGGAAGATCAGTGTATTCGTCCAGCATTTTGCTGTTTCTGTCAATTTACGAGCCCTGATGGGAAAATTAAAGAGTGGAAGAGCTGTTTCTCTCAATTTAAGTGAGTAACACAATACTATGGAAAGTATGGTTTTTTTTTTTTTTTTAGGGGGGGGGGG